GCTCGGCGGCTCGGCTGCTGGGCGGCTCGGGCGGCTCGGCTGTTGGGCGGCTCTGCGGCTCGGCTTCTGGGCGGCTCGGCTGCCGGGCGGCTCGGCTGCTGGGCGGCTCGGCGGGGCCGCTGAGAGGGCGGCGTCCGGGGCCGCTGGGGGAGGAGGCGGCGGGGCCGCTGAGAGGAGGCGGCGGGGCCGCAAAGGTAGGTGGCGGGGCCGCAGGTAGGTGGCGGGGCCGCTTTGTAGGTGGCGGGGCCCACAGGTAGGTGGCGGGGCCGCAGGTAGGTGGCGGGGCCGCTGGTAGGTGGCGGGGCCCAGGTAGGTGGCGGGGCCGCAGGTAGGTGGCGGGGCCGCTGGTAGGTGGCGGGGCCGCAGGTAGGTGGCGGGGCCAGCAGGAAGGTGGCGGGCCGCACAGGTAGGTGGCGGGGCCGCGGGGAGGTGGCGGGGCCGCTGGTAGGTGGCGGGGCCGCAGGTAGGTGGCGGGCCGCACAGGTAGGTGGCGGGGCCGCACAGGTAGGTGGTGGGGCCGCGGAGGGCGGCGACGAGCCGTAGGGGGCCGTGAGGGGCCGCGGGAGGGGCCGTAAGGGGCGTAAGGGGCCGCGCGAGGGGCCGTAAGGGACGGCGCGAGGGGCCGTAAGGGGCGGCACGAGGGGCCGTAAGGACGTCGCACGCGGGCGTCGGGCCGTAAGGGCGGCACGAAGGGCCGTAAGGGGCGGCGCGACGAGCCGTGAGAGGGCCCCTAAGGGCGACGCGACGGGGCCGTGAGGGGCCTAGCGAGGGCGCGACGGTAGGGAGAGCACACAGAGCGCGACTCGGGCCGGAGCGAAGCGCGCTCCGGGCAGGAAAAAAAAAATTCGTGGTGGTGGGCCCTAGGAATCGTTCCCACTAGGGAACCTGCTCGATACCATGAGAAGAAACGAGGAATGAATGACTAAGGGAAAGTTGGGTACAAATGCAAACCCTAGAAAAACTGTACCCCATATGTGCTACCCCACTATAGCCTACAGTAGCTATGTCATATAAATCTGACAGAATGCATATATTTGGCGAATTACATAGATCCAAAAGTTAGAGGGGTGGGGATTTGTATAATTCAAATCAAAGGCGAAAGATATATGGTATTCAATGTAGTTTTACGGAGAAAATGATGCGCGGGTTGGTTCGGTCAGTATGCACGCTTGTGTGCAGGTACAAGGCGGAGCAGGATCTATGAAATCTCCCAAATTATGTGGATCTAAAAGGTTAGAACCTAGTGTTGTTAAAGTAGATAGCCTAATCTAGTGGACTGGCAAGAATATGGTACTAACTTCATCTCTACAAACATAAGTAATGCGTTGGTCAGTTTGGTAGGTATGCGCGCTGTAGAGGAGGTATCATGCACGACTCGAATGCCTATATGTGGCGAATTACCTAGATCCAAAAGGTTAGAACCTAGTAGGGGGGTGGGGAATGGTATAATTCAAAGGAAAGGCGAAAGATATGTGATATTCAATGTAGTTTTTTTACGGAGAAAATGATGCGCGGGTCGGTTCGGGTCAGTATGCACGCTTGTGTGCAGGTACAAGGCGGAGCTGGATCTCTGAAATCTCTCAAATTATGTGGATCTAAAAGGTTAGAACCTAGTGCTGTTAAAGTAGATGGCCTAATCTAGTGGACTGATAAGAACATGGTACTAACTTCATCTCTACAAACATAAGTAATGCGCTTTGGTCGGTATGCGCTCCAGTAGTGCAGGTACCATGCACGATTCGAATGCCTATATTTGGCAAATTACATAGATCCAAAATGTTAGAACCTAGTAGGGGGGTGAGGAATGATATAATTCAAAGGAAAGGCGAAAGATATATGGTATTCAGTGTAGTTTTTACGACGAGAAAATGACGCGCGCGTAGGTTCGGTCAGTATGCACGCTTGGGTGCAGGTCCAAAGGCGGAGCAGGATCTCTGAAATCTCCCAGATTATGTGGATCTAAAAGGTTAGAACCTAGTGTTGTTAAAGTAGATGGCATAATCTAGTGGACTGGCAAGAATATGGTACTAACTTCATCTCTACAAACATAAGTAATGCGTTGGTCAGTTTGATCGGTATGCGCGCATGTAGTGTAGGTATCATGCACGACTCGAATGCATATATTTGGCGAATTACATAGATCCAAAAGGTTAGAACCTAGTAGAGCGGTGGGGAATGGTATAGTTCAAAGGAAAGGCAAAAGATATATGGTATTCTATGCAGTTTTACGGACAAAATGATGCGCGGGTTGGTTCGGTCAGTATGCACGCTTGTGTGTGCAGGTACAGACGCGGAGCAGGATCTCTGAAATCTCCCAAATTATGTGGATCTAAAAGGTTAGAACCTAGTGTTGTTAAGTACATGGCCTAATCTAGTGGACTGGCAAGAATATGGTTCTAACTTCATCTCTTCAAACATAAGTAATGCGTTGGTCAGTTTGGTCGGTATGCGCGCCTGTAGTGCAGGTACCATGCATGATGCGCGCGTAGGTTCGGTCAGTATGCAATTGGTTAGAACTAATAGGTTCTAACCTTTTGTATCTATGAAATTCACCACATATAAGCATTCGAGTCGTGCATGGTACCTGCACTACAGGTGCGCATACCGACCAAACTGACCAGCGCATTACTTATGTTTGTAGAGATATAGTTTGTATCATTTTTTTGCCAGTCCACTAGATTAGGCCATCTACTTTAACAACACTAGGATCTAACCTTTTCGATCCACATAATTTGGGAGATTTCATAGATCCAGCTCCGCCCTGTACCTGCACACAAGCGTGCATACTGACCGAAACCTACACGCGCATCATTTACTCCGTAAAACTTCACTGAATACCACATATCTTTCGCCTTTCCTTTGAATTATACCATTCCCCACCCCCCTACTAGGTTCTAACCTTTCGGATCTATGTCATTTGCCAAATATAGGCATTCGAGTCGTGCATGGTACCTGCACTACAGACGCGCATACCGACAAAATTGACCAGCGCATTACTTATGTTTGTAGAGATGTATTAGTATCAATTTCCTGCCATCCACTAGATTAGGCCATCTACTTTAACAAAACTAAGTTCAAACCTTTTAGATCCACGTAATTTTGGAGATTTCAGAGATCCAGCTCTGCCTTGTACCTGCACACAAGCGTGCATACAGACCGAACCAACGCACGCATCATTTTCTCCGTTAAAGTACACTGAATACCATATATCTTTTGCCTTTCCTTTGAATTATACCATTCCCCACCCCCCTACTAGGTTCTAACCTTTTGGATCTATGGAATTTGCCAATATAGGCATTCGATTCGTTCATGGTACCTGCACTACAGGCGCGCATACCGACCAAACTGACCAACGCATTACTTATGTTTGTAGAGATGTAGTTAGTATCATTTTCCTGCCAGTCCACTAGATTAGGCCATCTACTTTAATAACACTAGGTTCTAACCTTTTAGATCCACATAATTTGGGAGATTTCAGAGATCCAACTCGGCCTTGTACCTGCACACAAGTGTGCATACTGACCGAACCTACGCGCGCACCATTTTCTCTGTAAAACTACATTGAATACCATATATCTTTCGCCTTTCCTTTGAGTTATACCATTCTCCACCCCCCTAGTAGGTTCTAACCTTTTGGATCTATGTAATTTTGCCAAATATAGGCATTCGAGTCGTGCATGGTACCTGCACGACATGCACCGCATACGCGACCAAACTGACCAGCGCATTACTTATGTTTGTAGAGATGTAGTTTGTATCATTTTCCTGCCAGTCCACTGGATTAGGCCATCTACTTTAACAACACTAGGTTCTAACCTTTTAGATCCACATAATTTGGGAGATTTCAGAGATCCAGCTTTCCCTTGTACCTGCACACAAGCGTTCATACTGACCGAACCTACGCACGCATCATTTTCTCCGTAAAATTACACTGAATACCACATATCTTTCGCCTTTCCTTTGAATTATACCATTCCCCACCCCCCTACTAGGTTCTAATCTTTTGGATCTATGTCATTTGCCTAATATAGGCATTCGAGTCGTGCATGGTACCTGCACTACAGACGCGCATACCGACCAAACTGACCAGCGCATTACTTATGTTTGTAGAGATGTAGTTACTATCAATTTCCTGCCAGTCCACTAGATTAGGCCATCTACTTTAAGAACACTAGGTTCTAACCTTTTAGATCCACATAATTTGGGAGATTTCAAAGATCCAGCTCCGCCTTGTACCTGCACACAAGGTTGCATACTGAGCGAAACCTACGCACGCATCATTTTCTCCGTAAAACCACACTGAATACCATATATCTTTCTCTTTCGCCTTTCCTTTGAATTATACCATTCTCCACCCTTCTACTAGGTTCTAACCTTTTGGATCTATGTGTCAGAGGTCCACTGGTAATTCCCGATTGATCCTAGGGAAGGGTTACAGGCACGTGGGCCTAGGGGTTATGGGCGCAATCACCCGCTACATAAACAAGCCCTTTTATCCCAGTGGTTAGTGGCTGGGATTCTGACATGGTATCAGAGCGAAGGTCTCTGGTGCGATTCGAATCCCAGTGTGTGCACTTCGGGCATCCCAGTGCGGGGGGTGTTAGAGGTCCACTGGTGATCCCCGATTGATCCTAGGGAAGTATTACAGGCACGTTGGCCTGGAGGGTTATGGGCGCAATCACCCCGCTACACAAACAAGCCCTTTTATCCCAGTGGTTAGTGGCTGGGATTCTGACACTATGTAATTGACAAATATAGGCATTCGAGTCGTGCATGGTACCTGCACTACAGGCGCGCATACCGACCAAACTGACCAACGCATTACTTATGTTTGTAGAGATGAAGTTAGTACCATATTCTTGCCAGTCCACTAGATTAGGCCACTAGTTTAACAGCACTAGGTTCTAACCTTTTAGATCCACATAATTTGGGAGATTTCAAAGATCCAGCTCCTCCTTGTACCTGCACACAAGCGTGCATACTGACCAAACCGGCCCGCACATCATTTTCTCCGTAAAACTACACTGAATACCATATATCTTTCTTTGCCTTTCCTTTGAATTATACCATTCCCCACCCCCCTACTACCCTATACTAGGTTCTAACCTTTTGGATCTATGTAATTTGCCAAATATAGGCATTCGAGTCGTGCATGGTACCTGCACTACAGACGCGCATAACCGACCAAACTGACCAGCGCATTACTAATATTTGTAGAGATATAGTTAGTATCCTATTCCTGCCAGTCCACTAGATTAGGCCATCTACTTTAACAACACTAGGTTCTAACCTTTTAGATCCACATAATTTGGGAGATTTTAGAGATCTAGCTCCGCCTTGTACTTGCACACAAGCGTGCATACTGATCGAACCTACGCACGCATCATTTGTTTCGTATAAATGCATTTAATACAATATATTTTTCGCATTTCCTTTGAATGATACCATTCCCCCACGCCCCTACCAGGTTCTTACCTTTTGGATCTATGTAATTCCCCAAATATAGGCATTCCAGTCGTGGATGGTACCTGCACTACAGGCGTGCATACCGACCAACTGACCAGCGCATTACTTATGTTTGTAGAGATGCAGTTAGTACCATATTCTTGCCAGTCCACTAGATTAGGCCATCTACTTTAACAACACTAGGTTCTAACCTTTTAGATCCACATAATTTGGGAAATTTCTGAGATCCAGCTCCGCCTTGTACCTGCACACAAGCGTGCATACTGACCGAACCAACCCGCCCATCATTTTCTCCGAAAAACTACACTGAATACCATATATCTTTCGCTTTTCCTTTGATTATACCATTCCCCACCCCTCTACTAGGTTCTAACCTTTTGGATCTATGTTATTCGCCAAATATAGGCATTCGAGTCGTGCATGGTACCTGCACTACAGGCGTGCATATCGACCAAACTAACCAACGCATTTCTTATGTTTGTAAAGATGCAATTAGTATCATTTTCCTGCCAGTCCACTAGATTAGGCCATCTACTTTAGGAACACTATGTTCTAACCTTTTAGATCCACATAATTGAAGAGATTTCAAAGCTCTAGTTCCGCCTTGGACCTGCACACAAGCGTTCATACTGACCAACGCATTATTTGTTTCGTATAAATGCATTGAATATCATCTACTTTTCACATTTCCTTAAAATACCATTCCCCACCCCCTACCAGGTTTTAACCTTTTGGATCTATATAATTCGCCAATATATGCATTCTAGTCGTGGATGGTACCTGCACTACAGGCGTGCATACCGACCAAACTGACCAGCGCATTACTTATGTTTGTAGAGAAGTAGTTAGTATCATTTTCCTGCCAGTCCACTAGATTAGGCCATCTACATTAACAACACTATGTTCTAACCTTTTAGATCCACATAATTGAAGAGATTTCAAAGCTCCAGTTCCGCCTTGTACATGCACACAAGCGTGCATACTGGCCGAACTGACCAACGCATCATTTGTTTCGTATAAATGCATTGAATACCATATATTTTTCGCATTTTTTTTTAATGATACCATTCCCCCCCCCCCTACCAGGTTCTTACCTTTTGGATCTATGTAATTCACCAAATATAGGCATTCCAGTCATGGATGGTACCCGCACTGCAGGCGTGCATACCGACGAAACTGACCAGCGCATTTCTAATATATGTAGAGATGCTGTTAGTACCATATTCTTGCCAATCCACTAGATTAGGCCAAATATAGGCATTCCAGTCGTGGATGGTACCCGCACTGCAGGCGTGCATACCGACCAAACTGACCAGCGCATTTCTAATATATGTAGAGATGCTGTTAGTACCATATTCTTGCCAATCCACTAGATTAGGCCATCTACTTTATCAACACTAGGTTCTAACCTTTTAGATCCACATAATTTGGGAGATTTCAGAGATCCAGCTCCGCCTTGTACCTGCACACAAGCGTGCATACTGACCGAACCGACCCGCGCATCATTTTCTCCGTAAAACTACACTGAATACCATATATCTTTCGCTTTTCCTGTGAATTATACCATTCCCCACCCCTCTACTAGGTTCTAACCTTTTGGGTCTATGTAATTCGCCAATATATGACATTAGAGTCGTGCATGGTACCTGCACTACAGGCGTGCATACCGACCAAACTGACCAACGCATTACTTATGTTAGTAAAGATGCAGTTAGTATCATTTCCTGCCAGTCCACTAGATTATGCCATCTACTTTAGGAACACTTTGCTCTAACCTTTTAGATCCACATAATTTAAGAGATTTCAAAGCTCCAGTTCCGCCTTGTACCTGAACACAAGCGTGCATACTGACCGAACCGACCAACACATCATTTGTTTCGTATAAATGCATTGAATACCATATATTTTTCGCATTTCCTTTGAGAAATACCATTCCCCACCCCCCTACCAGGTTCTAACCTTTTGGATCTATGTAATTGGCCACATGTAGGCATTTCAGTCGAAGATGGTACCTGCACTACAGGCGTGCATACCATCCAAACTGACAACACAGCACAGCACAGTGCACCACGTCACCATCTTTCTGCTCTCTTCCCCACACTGCTCCACTGCCCGTACCCCTACCCACGTGTGCCTGCCCCCAGGCCCATGCGCGGTGCTGCCATACCCATCGCTGCCGCGCTTCTTTACAGACCCCATCACTGACGCCCTCCCCTCTGTTGTCTTTCTCATCCAACCCTTCCCGGTGAGCCCCTGATTCCCCTCTATCCCCCATCCCCGTTTGCTCGCTCTTCTCACCTCTTTCTCCTCCCTTCCCTACGTTCTGACACACTCTCTGGTTGAATTTCACACATGCATATAGTACACATACACGCACATGACACATGCATATAGTACACATGCACACACAAGACACATGCATATGTGCCATCCTCTGAGCTCAAAACCTTTTCTTCCTCTCCCTTCCCCTCTCTGCCTGTCTGTCCCTCCTTTGAAGTTTTTTATAGCCAATTTGATTTCTTCTGGTGCTTGTCGTTCAGTTCCATCCTCCCTTCCCTCCCTCCCTCCCTCCCTCCCTCCTCCCTCCCCTCCCTCCCTCCCTCCCTCCCTCCCTCCCTCCCTCCCTCCCTCCATCCCTCTCTCCCTCCCTCCCTCCCTCCCTCCCTCCCCCCTCCCTCCCTTCCTCCCTCCCTCCCTCCCTCCCCTCCTCCCTCTCTCCCTCCCGCTCCCCCCGCCCCCATCTTGAAACCCTCACGGCAGCCTCAAGTTCTATTCGCAGGAGCTGGTGGTGCTCAGGGTGGACCTGCAGCGCCACATGCAGCGCAGCGCCGTGTTGCCGCCACTCAAGGACGTCGACCCCTTCACCCATGTCAGTCGCATGCGCCCTCTCACTCACGCCCGCCTCCTCTCGCCATGGCCTAGCGCCCCTCTCGTTGGAAGCTCACGAGTCTAGGACTTTCACCCACGCGTATTGCGCTTCAAGTAGGTGCCCTCCCTCTTATATTCGCTCGAGCCAGCCACAGCTGCCCTTCCCTGCCTTCTCCTCTTCCCTGCCCTCACCCTGTGCACTGCATGCGCATCCCTGCCTGTGTGCCGCTGTGCCCCCCCGGGCGGCAGGTGGCGACCACGGTGGTGCATCAGGCGCATCTCAGCCCGCTGCCCCTGGCCGCCCAGCCTGTGTTCTGGGACTATGACTTCACTCTGCACCTCTTCCCCACACCCCACGTGGTATGCTGGCGCCTCACATGATCAGTTGCTTCATTCCGTCCTGTTTGAGTCGATGTCATATTTGATTTGCCACTGGCAGTCTCGTTCTGTCTTGTGTTACTGTTCTGCTATCCCCTTGTCCACATCACTCATCAACCCACAAGCATACCATGGTTTACCATTCATCCTTGAGCATTCTTGTATCGGTCATTTGGACCCATTCAGGATCTCCCATCTGTGGCCACCAATCCAGCTTTGGCACCTTCGCCAGACGCCCCCCTCTGCCCCCTTAATTACACTCCTATGGGACACTCCCTTATCTCCCATTTCATCCTGCCAGCTCATTCTGGCAGACTCATCAGGGCAGAGCAGCGCTGTGGTGAATGGCATCACGTGCATCAACCCCGGCTCCTTCTCCCTCGATGGCACCTTCACTGCGTACTACCCAGCCTCACGCACAGTGGAGCACTGCAATGTGTGATGCATTTGCATTTGCTAGAGTTCTGTACCAAGTTCACTCGGGTGGTCTGATGCTGCAATGCACAAGAACTTCTCAATTCTAAGACCGCAACCCTAAATCTAACCTCGGAAACAAACATTTGGGTGTTGTACAAGGACCCAGCAGGCACATGAAGGCGGATGTTCAATTATGGGGGAAGGGTGGGGGTTCAATTATGGGGAGGGAGGGGTTGTAACTTGTAAGCTTGCATCTACCGGTAGGTGTTATGGTACTGTGTGCCTGTGGAGTTCAATCCACGTCATTCAGGCACAGGTTGACCTCACACGCTCAATCACAATTTCAATCTCTAGGGTGGTGCGAGCTCAACAGAGCGGGGAGAGTGCTCACAACAACTCTTCTACACACGTCACCACCCGGATGCCACACCACTTCCTAGAAGAAATATGCTCACAACAACACTTCTATAACTCTGTGATTTACACACTTCACCACCCAGGAGAATGGTGTGGCATGGTGGTGCTGCCTGGCGTGGCATGGCATGACATGGCATGGTTGAAAGGCATGGCGAACAACAGCTCTCTCATGGCGGGCAGCAGCTCACTCACATGGCGGGCAGCAGGACATGCAGATAGCGCCTTCCAGAGCACCGCCCCCGCTGACAGGAAGAAGGCTCGGCTGCCCACCGACGCCGCTGGAGGTGGGGCAGGGGGGGAAAGGGGGGAACGAAGAGGGGGTTGAAGGGAAAGGGTTGTGGTCGGCAGGAGTTTACAGATTCACAGGGGGCATGGTGGGGGGCGGGGGGCAGAAGCAGCGGCAAGAGAAAGAATTATGGCTGGTGTCAAAGCACTGCACCTCACAGTACCGCGTCTAATGCGAACCGCACCTCATTGCACTTCATCTCACCACACGGCATCTCCCCGAACTGCATCGAACCGCTCTGCACCTCACAGTATCTGACTTGGTTTCAGTTGTCCCCCACCCCACAGCAAGCTGAGAGGGAAAATCATCGAACGACCTGAATGTTATTGCATATTCCAATGGCCCATGGTCAAATACACCTACCAGAGCAATCTCAGCTTGGTTTGCGCGCACAGAAAAGTTCGGCGATCGCGATGATGGCAGTTTCAGCCGACAAATGCTAAGGAAGCGCATGGATCCCTATGGGCGTAGGTAAAATCATCGAACGACATGAATATTATTGCATATTCCGATGGCCCATGGTCAAATACACCTACCAGAGCAATTTCAGCTTGGTTTGCGCGAACTGAAAAGTTCGGCGATCGCGATGATGGCAGTTTCAAACCGACAAATGCTAAGGAAGCGCATGGATCCCTATGAGCGTAGGGAAAATCATCGAACGACATGAGTTTTATTGCATATTCCGATGGCCCATGGTCAAATACACCTACCAGAGCAATTTTAGCTTGGTTTGCGCGCACATAAAAGTTCGGCGATCGCGATGATGGCAGCTTCAGCCGACAAATGGTAAGGAAGCGCATGGATCCCTATGGGCATAGGGAAAATCATCGAACGACATGAATGTTATTGTATATTCCGATGGCCCATGGTCAAATACACCTACCAGAGCAATTTCAGCTTGGTTTGCATGCATAGAAAAGTTCGGCGATGGCGATGATGACAGTTTTAGCCGACAAATGCTAAGGAAACGCATGGATCCCTATGGGCGTAGGGAAAATGATCGAACGACCTGAATGTTATTGCATATTCCAATAGCCCATGGTCAAATACACCTACCAGAGCAATTTCTGCTTGGTTTGCGCGAACTGAAAAGTTCGGCGATCGCGATGATGGCAGTTTCAACCGACAAATGCTAAGGAAGCGCATGGATCCCTATGGGCGTAGGGAAAATCATCGAGTGGATCCCTATAGGCATAGGGAAAAGCATTAAACGACCCAAATATTGTTCCATGTTCGGGTGGCCCATGTTCAAATAGACCTATTAGAGCAACTTCAGTTTGGTTCGCGCGCACAAGAAAAGTTCGGCGCTCGCAATGACGGCCGTGCCTGCCGACAAATGCTAAGGAAGCGCATGGATCCCTATAGGCGTAGGGAAAAGCATCGAACGACCCAAATATTGTTGCATGTTGGGGTGGCCCATGTTCAAATACACCTACTAGAGCAACGTCAGATGGGTTCGAGCGCACAGAAAAGTTCGGCGCCCGCGATGACGGCCGTGCCTGCCCACAAACGCAAAGGAAGCCCATGGATCCTTTTAGGCGTATGGAGAAGCATTCAACGACCCAAATATTGTTGCATGTTTGGGTGGCCCATGTTCAAATACACCTACCAGAGCAACTTCAGATTGGTTCGAGCGCACAGAAAACTTCGGCGTCCGCGATGACGGCCGTGCCTACCCACAAATGCTAAGGGAGCGCATTGATCCCTATAGGCGTAGGGAAAAGCATTCAACGACCCAAATATTGTTGCATATTCTGGCAACCCATGTTCAAATACACCTACCATAGCAACTTCAGAATGGTTTGCACGCACGCACAAAATGTTCGGCGCCCGCGATGACGGCCGTGACTGCCCACAAATGCTAAGGAAGCGCATGGATCCCCATAGGCGTAAAAAAAAGCCTTCAACGACCCAAAAAAGAAAATCTTGTTGCATAATCTGGCGGCCCATGTTCAAATATTCCTACCAGAGCAACTTCAGATTGGCTGGCGCGCATAGAAAAGTTCGGCGCCCGCTATGATGGCCGTGCCTGCCCACAAACGCTAAGGAAGCGCATGGATCCCTAAAGGCGGAGGGAAAAGCATTCAACGACCCAAATATTGTTGCATATTCTGGCGGCCCATGTTCAAATACACCAACCAGTGCAACTTCAGATTGTTTCGCTGCTGCACAGAAACGTTCGGCGCCCGCCGATGACGGCCGTGCCTGCCCACAAATGCTAGAAGAAGGCGCATGGATCCCTATAGGCATAGGGTAAAAAAAAAACATTCAACGACCCAAATATTGTTGCATATTGGGGGCGGCCCACTATTCAAATACACCTACCAGAGCAACTTCAGATGGGTTCGAGCGCACAGGAAAGTTCGTCACCCGCGATGACGGCCGTGCCTGCCGACAAATGCTAAGGAAGCGCATGGATCCCTATAGGCGTAGGGAAAAGCATCGAACGACATGAATGTGTTGCATATTCGGGTGGCTCATGTTTAAATACACATACCAGAGCAACTTCAGATTGGTTCGAGGTGCACAGAAAAGTTCGGCGCCCGCGATGACGGCCGTGCATGCCGACAAAATGCTTAGAAAGCGGCATGGATCCTTATAGGCGTAGGACGACCCGAATATTGTTGCATATTTGGGTGGGCCCCATGGTTCAAATACACCTACCAGAGCAACTCCAGCTTGGTTCTGCGCGCACATAAAAGTTCGGCTGCCCCAGCGATGACGGCCGTGTCTGCCGACAAAATGCCAAGGAAGCGCTTGTATCCTTATAGGCGTAGGGAAAAGCATCGAACGACCCGAATATTGTTGCATATTCGGAGTGGCCCATGTTCAAATACACCTATCAGAGCAACTTCAGATTGGTTTCGCACGCACAGAAAAGTTCGGCGCCCGCGATGACGGCAAGTGCCTGCCGACAAATGCTAAGGAAGCGCATGGATCCCTATAGACGTAGAGAAAATCAATCGATCGACCCCAATGTTGTTGCATAGTCGGGTGGCCCATGTTCAAATACATCTATCAGAGCAACTTCAGACTGGTTCGCGCGCACACAAAAGTTCGGCATCCGCGAAGACGGCCGTGCCTAGCCCACAAATGCGAAGGAAGCGCATGGATTTCTATAGGCGTAGAGAAAAGCATTCAACGACCCCAATATTGTTGCATATTTGGGTGGTGCATGTTCAAATTCACCTATCAGACCAACTTCAGCTTGGTTCGCTGCGCACATGAGATCGACGCCCGCGATGACGGCCATGCCTACCCATAAATGCTAAGGAAGCGCATGGATCCCTATAGGCGTAGGGAAAAGCATTCAACGACCCCAATATTGTTGCATATTCGAGTGGCGCATGTTCAAATAAACCTATGAGAGCAACTACAGCTTGGTTCACGCGCACACAAAAGTTTGGGCGCCCGCGATGACGGGCGTGCTGCCCACAAATGCTAAGGAAGCGCATTGATCCCTATAAGCGTAGGGAAAAGCATCCAACACCCGAATATTGTTGCATATTCGGGTGGCCCATGTTCAAATACACCTTACAGAGCAACTTCAGCTTGGTTCGCGCGCACAGAAAAGTTCGGCGCCCGCGATGACTGGCCGTGCCTGCCGACAAATGCTAAGGAAGCGCATGGATCCCTATAGGCGTAGGAAAAAAGCATCCAAACGACCCAAATATTGTTGCATATTCAGGTGGCCCATGTTCAAATACACCTTCAGAGCAGAACTTCAGCTTGGTTCGCTGCGCACAAAAAATGTGTCGGCGCCCGCGATGACGGCCGTGCTATCGAAGTTTAGGAGTAGAAAGTTTAGAAGGAGAAAGAGGAGTTGCACTAGTAAGCAGGGCAGTACATATAGCAAACCCTAACAGGGTTGTACTCACTATGGAGTACCCCACTGCAGACTAGACAATTATAGCATTCTGACACACCCCCATAGGCAAAGTGGGGTATAATCAGTACAACAAGCAGTCATAAATAAGTGCACAAGCACCAAGTAAAGCTAGAGGCTATCGCAGGAGGGCAAGTGAGGAGGAGGAGAGACCGTGGGTGGAGAGAAGATGGGAGGGCGACTGCTGAAGCTGCAGACACACAGGAGCTGCTGGCTCAGTGGCTACCGAAAGCAAAGGCCCGGACTACAGGAGTAACTAGCTCCGCGGAGATTGTAGCCTCCAGACCGAGAAGCAACTGACCCACAGGCGACTGGCGACTTACCGGAGATTGTAGCCTCCGGACTACTGGTGCTGCTCCGGCGACACAACGGCTGCCTCCACTCAACCTCCCCCAGCTGCCCCACGCCCCTCTCACACACCCCCTGCTGAAACCCT